TTAACTTAGACCACTTTTAAATAACAAAAAAAGGCCTTGCTGGCTCATCAGTATTGTCTGCATTGTAGGAATGAAACACATTTACTCAAGGAAACTTCTCATGTACCAAATCCACCTTACACAGAATTAGCATTTATGCCACTGCATCAAATTTTGAATCGTAGTTATTGGTGTTGTTCCCTTGTACTACAAACTACTGAATCTTCTAGGATGACACTCAGAGCTCTGTATTGCCCCAAAAGTTTAAGTGAAGATACTGTATTTGTACCTAGAAGTGTTCACTGCTCTTTGCAAAAACCTCTGAACATTCTGCCACCCATCTGTGCCAGTTTCTGCAGAATCCATTCTAAATACAAACTTTATACTTACTAAGCCAATATAGAAAATGATCATCCACACTAATGGTATACATTTTGTGTGTAAATTGTAGCTATCTGACAGCATATACTGGATTGTAACTAAAATGCTGAATCATAATTTGAGCAAAAATTTGCTGTTGGTATTAGTTTAGTGGCCTTCTAAGAGGGGCTGAAATCAGTTAAGAAAAGAGGGAATACAACCATCTCTCTACTACAGGTAAAAAGGCAGAAACTCAGATTTTCTGTCTCTTATACTACAGCTGTATTTGGATTAAGTTGGAGTTCCTGTATTCAGACATTATGAAGTGAAATTGTTAGCAGCTCATTCATAATCCTTTCATGTATTACACCTGGGTTTAATTACTTTGCTGAGGAGCACTGTAAAGTGTAAGAAACAGCCACCTATTTCATCACAATTTCCTACAAGTCTTGATCTCCAGTCCTGCCTTTGCTGAAAGGGGTAGAAAAGTCATCGTTAACACTGATTTAAAGCTAGCAAAATTTTATTTTGTATTTAAGACCGAGATCCCACACCTTTGGCATGGTTTAGTAAAAGAACTTCAAATTATAGAACTGCGTGGAATAACAGTAAAAGGACATTATTATTTAGTGGTGGAAATAATAAATAGGAATCTACTTTCAGCATGGTAAAAAATTTTTCTAAGAGAAAACATTTTCTTTTATCAGTTGTTGGTTTACTGAAAAGAGTCTCGTAAGTGTTCAGTAAGTATGCTTAGTAGAATCAAGAGTGCTTCTTTGTACAAAGGCTAAACATAGTAACAGCCACTTAAAATGCAGTAGCCTTTAAAAAGTTCCGAACAAAAGGTATGTGACAAGAAAATTTCAGTGTATCAATTTTGCTTTTCATTGGTGAAGCTGGAATATGTTCTGGCACTTATACTTGCAAAATGAGTAAAAATCAGGATGCAATTTCTGAGCAGTAGAACCAGTACATTAGTGCCACCAGCAGAATCTCAGAAGGTGGTACAAAACCTATTAAAGGTTTCCTTCTGACTCCTCCAAAGCAAGTTACCAGAAGGCTACTGATCTGGGAATTTTTATTTCCACTCATGGTGTTTGATTTAGAGAGATTGTATTAGCTATGTTACTAATTAACAGGTATGTAAACTACAGGTTGGTAGAGTACTTCCTTAACCCATGCATTTTCAGGTAGGTAGTTCATTCAATACCATTAAACTGCCACAGGATTTATTTTAGAGCAGGCTTGGTTAGCTAAATAAAAACAGTTCTTACAAAAGGCTTGTAACTGACATTTAGCCTCTTACTGGTTCAGTTATCCAAATGCAAATCTTGAGCTTACACATAAAACATGAATTTAAGGGCATGCTAAGTGTTTTGAAGTGCAGAGATAGGTGTGGTAATATTGACTGTTAAGTGTTTGGTACCCAGGGTTTAAATACTTAAAAAACCCACAAAGATAAAGAAATAAAGCTGTTTAAGCCAATACAGACAAAAGGAGAACTCCACCATTGCAACAGGATCTCTTATAGCCGCCAAATGGAAGATAGCTATGAGAGATGAAGACACAAGGAAGATGCAAAAGCCAAGTGAAAAGACTGAGTATTTATGTGACACAAATTCAGATTAAAAAGCAGCTCACTGCGCCAGCATTCAGAACATCTCTGTTTTCTGAAACTGTTTCCCATTACAAGATTGTCTGTCAAAATACTAATTATGAAAATGTTTTGTCACTTTGTTTCCTTCATGATGTCAATAGAAAAGGAAGGGGTATTTTACATGCAGGGATTTTATACATAAATCTATTTTTATTTGTAATTAAGCCATTCTCAATAAAGGTTTAAAGTCACAGATAACCCTGTAACATAATGTAGCAAGTGCATTTATTAACTAGCTTATTATGAAAAAATGTTGGAAGAATCTTTAGAGGACGTGTTACATACTTAACTGGAAATGGCACAGCTGAAATTATAATTTGGAAAAAATAGTCAAATATGAATGACAGTTGAGTTCAAATTTGACTCAAATGAGTTCAAATATTTATTTCAGCTATAAATTCACAATTGCTAGGCCATAAATCGTTCATTCTGCACTTCCTGAACACCTACTGCATTACCCAAAACATACAAAAAGAAGTTTCAATATACACTAGTAGCTGAGAATAGCAAATGTATTGATATTATCCATATAAACAGCTGTTCTGTGTACTCCACAACCACTGAGTATCCTACTGGAGTGCAGCTCCAGGGAAGTAGTTTTCATTACCCATCCTGATCCCTAATAGCACCCCAGTGCTTTCTGTTCACAATGAAAAGTATGCAATTGTGCCAGCCTTGCCTATGCTTTAGCCAGTGTTTCCAGTTTTGCCTCACAACACAGCACTGAGCTTCTGAAGATAGTAAAATCATCTGTCTGCAGCACTACTTTTGCACCCTGAAGCAGCCTGAAGACATTGGTGCAACTGTGGTTGTAATACGTAGGATAAAGGGAAGTAGAAAGAACCACAGTGGTCTTGCTTTACAGTACCCACAGATCTTCAAACAACTAGGACATGTCTGGGACATTACTTAACTCTAGCAGAACTGCATCAAATAGTTCACAATTTGAAAAAAAAAAAAACCAGACAAAAACAATTTATGCCTCCTTTCTCCCTAAATTACGTATTTGGGTAGAGGGTAGAAACTGGAAAGTAGTAGTAGATAGACACACAATACAAACCTTATGTCCTCTGAACTCATTGTTTCCATCAAACTATACCACAGTACACAGTACTGAATAAATTTCATCATCATTTTATATCACTATGCTCCTACTATATATATTTCTAGCAAGGAACAAAAGTTTGGACTCATTAGTGTGAATGACAAAAAAAAAAAAAACAAACAAGCAGCCATTTTTCAATTATTTTACTTAGCACAGTTTGAATCCTATTACTTAATGGTTACAGGAGATTAAAAGTACAACATTAAAATAACAACTTGTGATCCACAGTAAAGCAATCATCCAACAGTACCTTCTAATTTGTTACGTAACATTCAATTGTAATGAGATGCTCTCTCTTACTCTTTGATTATATTGGGTACAAAATAAGGCTGGACTGCTTCAGTGAGCTTGTCTGCATACATTTCATATCTACCAGTCATCTGGAAAAGAAAAATCAAAGCTTCAGTTCTTTTAGCGAGTTATGAAAGTACTTCAGTAGAAGATATTTATAGCCACCATTTTTTTTAATGACGACATATTACTTAATTGCCCCAAACAGTAAAATCATAATTCACTCAAAATGCAAGACTGAGTGCCTTAGCACAAACTAATATGCTTTTATAAAAGAACTCGCGTTGTATTGCCTAAAACCATACTTCCATCCTCAAAAAGAGTAGAAATGCATTTCCAATCTTAAAACTTCAAAACTAACACCTTCCTGCTTTGCAGCTCTCCTTCACTGAAGTCATGTCTGCTGACTAATTACTTAAGGCTATTTTGGTTATCCTGGATAGCTGAAAGTTGAATGTGAAAGGTAGACTTACTGTCTTACGCAACAACAATATTCTCTTTTAAGTAAGTTACGTCAAGGAAGGCAAAAGAGTGTCTCTCTAATTCTGTCTTCGTATTATGACCTTGACAACTGATGAACCCTGCTGCCAGCAATAAGTTTGCATATGTGCCACTGACTGTATTTGGGTTGCTCTTACTCTATCCATTAATAATACTAAACATTATCATTGTTTTGGGTGATACAATAAGCTAGGAGGCTGAAATACAGCACTTGATGTAGTGCACTATCCTCTTCTGAAGTGCACAGTCTACAACACTGGTTCTGAGAAGAATGAACTACTTCTTTCTTGCCAGAGTGTAATTAGGACAATTTGTTTAACTATTTTGCTGCTGTAAGTTTAGCAAAGACTTTCTACTTAACATCCCTTTCAGGCATCATTGAATGCAAATTGCAGATACCAGAGCCGGTTAAATAGGTTCCTACTTGCTATCAAGGGTTTTCTGCAGTGGATAAACGATGACTTCATACTTCCTCATTCCCCTCATATCAAGAACTACCTCTGCCTCAGCCACAAATGAGAGGAAGAGGAAACAGATATCCCTCGTCATATAAACAAAAGCCACAGCTGTGCCTTAGGTGCCAAAAGACCAACAATAGCAATCCACAGCATCAACATAAAACTAAGGTGCTGAAAGCACAAGATTTGCAGACAAGAAAAAATAAGCAATTCTATACAAAACAGCTAAAGGTCAGTGTTTTGCTTTTACTGTTTGTTTTTCCTAGTCAATACAATTGCTTTTGTTCAGATACTCCTACTAAGGTTTTATAGGCAATACTCCATGCGCTTCCTGACACACTAAATCTCTACTCTGCAGTAAGGGCCTCAGATTTTAGTGTCAAAGCAAAACTTAATGCCTGCCTGACTTAAAAAAAACTGGGAATCTCTCAGCACAATTTAATTCCACTATGTCAACAGTCATATACCTACCACACACATCTATAATATAAAAAAAGCAATTCTGTCCAGAAGACAACTTGAAATTACTTTTTGTCTTTAGTCCCTATATATGGATTGGCAGTATTACCAAAGAAATTCAGCTCTAGCTAAGAAATCTCTATGTTTTAATTAAAAAGTTTATTCAGCA